CTACTACTACTGCTACTCCTACTCCTACTACTACTACTACTACTACTACTACTACTACTGTCGATGCTAACTGCTGACAGGTCTTCATGATCATGCTCGGTTTCTGCACTAGACATATGCTTTGTTCTTACATCTCTGTTTTCATAAGATGAAAATAAATAGAACGGGCATTCAGACAGCGTTGCCGTCTGATTTGCCAGCACTAAAGCTATTCTGATGCAAAAACAGCAGGTTGCTAAATGTAAAGCCGTGCTCTGCAGATCTTTGCTGCGTCCGACATATGCATCATGCATTAATCTACAAGTGACGTCTAGCCGGATTCTCCGTTTTAGTCCCTCAAGCATGTGCCCCTGAGGGGCACAGGTTGTTGTGGGTATCCGCCCTGCCCGTGCGCAGCGTGGTCTTTGTGAGCTGGTCACGACAAGCATGGCTTCTCCCAGCACAGCGTGCATTTAATAGTTTGCTCTTTGGGCGTTGGCATTTCATAACTGATTTCAGGTTTGGACCTTGGCATACTGGCTGCAACTATCGGAGGGAACGGGCGTGTGCATCGGCGGGGGGGGGAGGTGACCGGAAAGTGTAGGGCCCGGGAAAGCCACGAACATTTATGATAAGCTCGTTGCAGTGGGCGTAGCTGCCACTCACGTACACTAGAGGGCTCAATCTCTTGAGCACATGTGCGCACGATGTGCTAGATGGCAACGGCTCTTCAATCAACGGTTGCCCCTCCCTCGACACTCGTAGACAGCCTTTCCCTTCTCTTGTAGTCACGTAAAGAACCGTGACACACTGAAAATTGTCCACGCGCGACCCTATTCCGATCCGTCAACTCAAGGCAAGCCTCCCTGGCTGTCAGCCCCAGACCCCGGTAATAGTACTAGAAAGCCTTGCCGGGCTACTCAGCAGAATTAAGTCGTTGCACCTGGGTCTTGTGGCAGCGTACGCCGCCCAGAAAAGCGGCTCTGGAGGAATCACCTGACAGTTCTACCGGGCCCAGGCGGCCCAGGACAGTGGAACACAATCAATCATAAACACATCTTCAGGGAGGAATTCCCGTATGTTCTACATGTAAGTAGCAACAACTCATTTAGGCTGTTTCAGTCATGCCCACTTGCAACTCGCAGTTACTCGAGAATGCTCGCGCCTGGCATGCCCTGACAAAGGAAACGAGCAACTCGAAATGTAGATCAGGGTGGAGAACGGTCGAAGTCTTTGGGTGGAACATGCGCTCTGCATAGCCCCCCACTACCTCCAAGCTGGCTCGGTCGTAGGAGACAGAATGCTTGCTCGTTTGCGCACAGGAATTTGCAAATGCTGTGCTGCCGCGCAGAGTCAGGTAGCGCACTTACAGAGACTGATAGAAAACCCGGGGGGATACTAATTTGCTGGGGAGAGGGATCAATAAAAAAATAAA